CAACAATCGTCGCCGTCCAGTTGGAGTTATGGGCTAAAGTGTGTGAGCCTGATTCAGTTCCACTGAAGTCACTATTAGCTATTGCCATTCTCTCTCTCTCCCTTTCTTCTCATCAGCAGACACATTTGCTCCTTGCTCCTCGGTTCCGCCTGACCGCAGAGAGAAAACTCGACAGTCAGTTATGCAACAAACTGAAGTCAGAATGAGAGAGGAAGAGAGAGGTCAAAGTGCTATTGGCAATTGCAAATCTCGTTTCTGCATTTGCGCGCGCACTAGCGATGATTATTATTGCTGCCCCAGCGATCGGCATTGTTATTGAGATGGTGGTGGTGGCGTCGGTCGGTGCGACCATTCTTTCTGTCTTTCTGCCACTGCGACTGACTCTTCTTGTTGATTGTTACTGCTGATGCAAGAGCGGAAAGCCGGCTAGCCAAGCAGGTAGGTAGGCAGTCAGGTAGGCAGCCAGGCGAACAGGCAGACAGACAGGCAAAGAGTAAAAATGAAAGAAAGAGAGATGGCAAAAATGTCTGTGTTGTCTATGTTGTGGTCGTCACCATCACCACCGTCACCGAAACTGGTTGGCGCCGATAATTAGCCGCCAAATCGAATGCAGACGAGAACTGACTGCTGCGCCAGCTCTTTTCTATCTGCTGGTCGAAGATGAGAAAGAGAGAGAGAGTCAACAGTGTGGACACCAACTCAGAGAGGAATAGCAGAGCGGGNTGAGTGAGAGAGTCAACAGTGTGGACACCAACTCAGAGAGGAATAGCAGAGCGGGCGCGAGAACGAGAGCAAGGGTCNAAAGAGAGAGAGAGTCAACAGTGTGGACACCAACTCGGAGAGGAATAGCAGCGCGGGCGCGAGAACGAGAGCAAGGGTCACGAAGGCAGAGGCAGATGCAGCTGAACGAGCCGGACACCGCCAGAGAAGAGAAAGAGCAGTGAACGGCCAACAGAAGGCTGAGTAAGTGAGCTACCCCATCCCAGTGAGAAGAGAGTAGTAGGGTTGTGTGAGAATGGAAGAAGTGCTAGCTAGCCTGGTGCAAGCGCCGGCCAAAGGTACGGTCGCGGACGGAGGCCTCAGTGGTCGAGGTTAACGAACGGCCGACGCCACTGCCACCACACTGACAGTGCTGGTCGTAGTTCGAGCCAGTTTTGGTCGCCGCTGCTCCTCTTCTTTCATTGCACACACACACACACAACTCTACTGCTCACAGTTCACTACGGAATCGGGCTTGCTTGCCTGTCCGCTCTCTTGCTTGTGTGGCGTCAAAGCAGAGAGTGAGCTGCTGCCTCTGCTACGACGGCGGCAGCGGCGGCAGAAGCAGCCATGTAATGAGCACATTAGTCGCTCCCATTCGACAGCATTAGCGCCGAGCGCTTGAGTGAGCCGCCGTCGCCGCTGCCGCTGCTGCCGGTTCTTGGGTAGAGAGGCACTGAACACACGAACGAGTCTTTCTGAGGAGCCCAGAAGGAGTGAGAGAGAACTCGAAAGATCGTCGCTGCCGTTCACTGGTGCCGGACAGACTGCTGATTGGAATTGCATCAGCAACGGCCAGGCAAAAGAAGAGAGATGCAAAGGTCAGACCAGACGACGAAGACGACATCGGCATCAAAAGCTCCTGGACAGCTCGATTCGGATGGCTGCCACTGCAGCTGCCTCAAATTGAGCAAGGGTTGCTGCAACTACTACCCAAATGTTGACGCAAGAAAGGCAGAGCAAAAGATAGAAAGAAAAAGTTCTCTTTTTTAGAGTTCGAGTAGCGCCAAGAATGTTCTCCACTTGAACCAAAAGCACCAAAACGGGTGCAAGTGTGGTGATGCCGGTGACAAGCGCATCACCCGAAGCACTGAATGTACGATTGAGCAAAGTGGCAGATGGACAGGTGCAGGTGGTGGTGGTGGCACTGATGGTGCACTGTGAGGGCTATCAGTCGGTGGTGGTGGTGGTGGTGATCCTGTCATGATCATTGTCACCATCATCACTAACAGCAGCAGAAACTACTTCAAAGGTACTACTAGTAGTCTAGGCACTACAAAGAGAAAACAACGGAAAGAGCAGACTTACATGGCCTGCAATTCCATTGACAGCATAGCCTGAATTGACAAAGCCCTAGAAAAGGAAAAAGAAGAGAGAGATAGGAAGAAATGCAAGAGAGTGGAAAGAGTGTGAGTTAGAATGAGAGAGATAAAGAAAAGAAGATTGATAGATTGATAGAGAGGACAGGAAAACAGAGAAGGTGACAGAACTCTGTACAGGGCAACATCAGGCATCATCAGGCAGTGTATGGGAGAACATTCATGAACATTAAACTCAGTGAATGATAAAGTCATTCAAAATGTGTGACATATAAAAACAGGGAGAGAGTGACTACTCAGGCAAGCAGTTGACATTTAGCTCCACACACACATGTGTGCACACACTCGATTCTGATGGATCAATCAGAACCAGGCAAGGGAAAAAGACGCACACAAACCGACAGTAGCTGGCAAGACATTTCGCTACAGAGCGACCCTATCACCACTACCACAACCCGAAAAAGTACCGATCTAGTGAAATCTCCTTCTTTCTTTACAAGTGTGCGTTAGGCTCTTTTGAGTCCGACTGGTGAAAAAAGATAGTAGGAACAGTGCAAAGGCAGCGAGTATGGGCTTTGTCATCGGTGCAACTACCGCACACACAGAAACGAAGAACGAAAAAAAGCAAAAAAATACGAAACGAAAAAGCTAGTGTAGACTGAAAGAAAGTAAAAAAAAGTAAAGGAAGGAGGAGAGGGAGTCACTAGTGGTGGTGGTGGTGGAAGAAGCTTAATAGATTCGAGAGCGGCAGAAAATGCCAAATGCTGCCAGCACAATGACAGTACAGTACTGAAGACTGACTAGAGAAGAGCAGGAGAAAGGAGAACGTAGAATCGGCCTTTCACTCCCTACTGACTCCACATCAGACTGCATTGACAGTGAACCGGGAGTGAGTGAACCGGGGACAAACGGGCGACACACACACGTGTTGTGTGAATNAAAAGTTGCAGGAAAATTCGGCGTGAATTCGATCACAGGCAACAGAGAGAAGGGATACACCACCACTACCACCAGAATGGATGGTAGAAAAAGAGAGAGAAAAAAGGCAGCAATGAGATGGCAAAATAGAGCCTGGGATAGGTAGTCAANTAGTAAGCAGATCGCAAGAGTCGCAGCAGCATAGGCTACACAGAACCGTAGAATCGGCACATTGGGCGCAAGCAGCAGCAGCTGCAACTGCAGAAGAAGTAGAAGCGACAGAGAACTGAGACGGCAAAAAACAGGGAGAGGAAAGTGCAGGAAAAGTTGCAGGAAAATGCGTGAATTCGAGTACAGGCAACAGAAAGAAGGGATACACCACCACCACTACCACCAGAATGGATGGTAGAAAAAGAGAGAGAAAAAAAGGCAGCAATGAGATGGCAAAATAGAGCCTGGGATAGGTAGTCAAAGAAAGAGAGAGAGAGAGTCGGGGGACGGAAAGGAAAGGAAAGGAAAGAGAGGAGAGGAGAAAGAAGGCGCCAAACTACGACAAGTAGACAACTGTGCTCGAGTTGGCGAAGCGGTGATATCACAATTAGACAAGGCAAGGCGAAAGGCGACGGTGCAGTGGCAGTGGAGGGAAGGCTGAACACACTACCAACCAACGAACGAACCAACCAGCCAACCAACACAGCACACGACGGTCTGGTTCAGGCTGGTTAGGAGGAGAGAGGCACACACTTCGCTGGTGGTGGTGGCAGTAGTCGCAGGAGCTTCTGCTGCACTTTGCCGACGTGAGCCTAGCGAACTACAGAGCGACACACTAGTTTGCCACTGTACGGCGCGACGCCTTTCTTTCCTTCCCTCCTTCTTCTTCTGCTATCTGTTATCGAGGTATCGAGGCTATTTTTGCTGTCGCTGTCGCTGCTGCAACGACGGCGGCGATGGCAGTACACGAATCGACAATAAGAGCTTCGCTCGATCTACCACCACCAGCACTAGCACCGGCAGCAGCAGCAGCTTTACGACAGTCGTCGATCGAAAACAAACTCTCTGCTGCTTTCGACGTAGTTGCTGGAAGACTACTGTTGGGGGACTGTCTAGCTCTAACTCTTGCTGTTGCGGTGAAAACAAATACAATGAAAAATAATAAGAAGAAAAAGATAGAAAAGGAAAGAGAGATAGAGATAGAGTTGGAAAACAGACAAGAGGCTACCATGAGCACCGCCACAGAAGAACACAGGGGGAGAGCACATCAAGAAAGAAGGCACACACACACAAACACATACTACTACATTAAGAAAAACAACAACAACAACAGCAAAAGGACACACTGAGGCAAAGAGGAAAATAAAATNAACACATACTACTACATTAAGAAAAACAACAACAACAGCAAAAGGACACACTGAGGCAAAGAGGAAAATAAAATAAAGTAAAAAGTCACACAGAGTACACTTACATAATCGTGGAACGCCTTCGCTTCACTTGAATGTTCGCAAGTGTCGCGCCGCTCGGGGGCCGCGCAGTAGAGATCCCAGAAGACGCTGGGAAGGGGATTGGAAAGGGGAGGAAAGGAAAATAGAAGAGAAAGTTAGTTCCCTGGCCATGATGATGATGATAATTCGATGGTGATGGTGGTGAATGGTAGTCGCTCAAAGTCTGCAGACATCCGTCGTCAGTCAGTCAGGCAGAGCGTCTTTGATTGACACAGCAGCACCACTACAACCACCAGCATCCACCAGACACACACTTACCACCACCAGGAGTGGAGAAAGCCCGGTGGCTCGCCCAGGGTTATGTTCTTCTCCCATCGGATCTGCGGTGATAAGGGGAAAACAGTAGTAAGAAAAGGAAAGAGAGAGCGAGAGTGCGAACAGGAGTGTGTCAGTGCGTGAGCAAAGCCATCTCCTCGACGTCGTCACTTGCTGCTGATGCGGCGGTGACCATGACGACCGGAGAAGAGCACTGATGTAGCACCAGAGCATCACTTGCAGACACTAACTAAAACTAACAAAATGTCACCGACATCACTTACCTCTGAGAGGAAGGTTTGCGCAGCCTTCTGCGCACCCACGTGTAGTAAGTATTCATAGACGTAGAGTGCTAATCTGTGGAAGGAAAAAAGGATGAGGATTTAGGTTGGGTTAGAGTGTGCTGTGACAGGATTTATGAGGAGTTCAGAGCGTTCAGAGATCAACTGCTGAAACTGAAAAGCTTACTTTTCTCTCGCCTGGGCATCCGAAGGAACGGTTTGGCCTTTTCCTTTGGCGTACATGACCCTAGCGTTCTACACCTGTAGATGATTAAGAAGAAGAAGGTCGTTTGGTTAGTGGTTTGCTGTAAACAGTGAGGGTTGCTGGGATAAGTGGTGGTGCATTATCATTATCAGCAGAGGCAACAAGCAACAGCAACAAAAGAACAACAGAGCTGCCAGCAGTCACCGTACAGATGGAAAGCCGGCAAAACGGAGTGATTGTGACGGAGAGAGAAAGAGAGAGAAGGTGTTGAGCAAATGGCAATGATGTAGCTGCTGTAGTTGTTGTTGTCGAAACACACACACACAGGCAGAAAGAAAGAGAGAGATCGGCAACGAGTATGCCCAGTAAGTCAATTTTGCTATGAAAACTGTACGGCTGCTGTGTACTGTGTTTTGCCGGCGTCGAGGATTGCTGCTGTTGCCGCCGTCGTACAACAGTAATGGCAGATCGATCACAATGCCAAGTCAGTTCGAAAGAAAGAGAGAGAGAGAGAGAGAGAGAGAGAGAGAGAGAGAGAGA